TGGATAGTGAGGCGGGCTGAAGATCGGAAGGTTGTGAGTTCAAATCCCGTCTGGAACACCACCACTAGTGTGCCCTTGAGTAAGGCACTTAGCCCTTAATTACTCCAGGGAGAATGTCCCTGTAATTGGTCATTGTAAGTCGCTTTGGATAAAAAGCGTCAGCTAAATGAAATGTAATGTAAGATAACGCACACAGTTGGCCTGATATTCATCATGAAGACAGCATTAATGATCAGCCACAACCAACCTCAGTGCCCGCTATTCCACCTGTCATACCCCAAAACACACAGCCAACTCTGCCCCAAGGACAAAGCCCCCTACGCCCAGCACAGCAAAGGATGACCACATGATTCAAATACTGGAGAATCAAAGCAGCTTGACGAGGATACTTGTGAAACAACAACTTCTCTCGACGCTGCCACAAGGAAGTATTCCACCCTTTGATGGACACATCATGGAGTACAAGTCCTTTATCCACTCCTTTGAACATTGTATTGAAAACAAAACGGACAACAACAGAGACAGGTTGCAGTTCCTTATACAGTTCACCAGAGGCCAAGCTCAGCGGCTAGTCAAAAGCTGTGAATACATGTCTCCAGACAGAGGCTATCAGAAAGCAAAACGTTTACTGAAGGAGAACTTTGGGAACGAATACAAACTCTCTGGTGCTTACCTGGAAAAAGCTCTATCCTGGCCCCTAGTGAAATCTGAAGATTCAAGGTCGCTGCAGGATTACGCCATGTTTCTAAGGAGTTGCTGCAACGCTATGGAGGAAATGGAGTACTTGGAGGAACTCGACACAATGTCCAACATGAGAAGCATTGTGCTTAAGCTTCCATACAAGCTCAGGGAGAGATGGCGCAGCAAAGCTTACGCACTGCAAGAGGAGCGCAGTCGTAGAGTAAGGATTTTAGACCTTGTCTATTTCATTGAAAGGCAAGCTCGCATAGCAGCAGACCCAGTTATTGGTGACCTTCAAGACCAGTCAGCTGCCAAAGGAAAGGTGGCTGTAAAGATGTCCTGTTAAGTCGCAGATCTCAAAGGCGTATGACAGCAGTTTTGCCACAGGTGTCACTATTCCCCCAAAAGAACCAGAGCCTGAACCCTCCTGTCCCTTCTGTAGGTGCAAGCACACATTGGAACTGTGCAAACGGTTCTTTGAAGAAACACATAGGAACAAGCTGAACTTTGTAAAGATCAAGGGCATATGCTTTGGCTGTCTCTCTATTGGCCACATTAGTAGAGACTGTAAACAACGCCTCACCTGTAGAGTTTGCAAGCAAGCCCACCCAAGTGCCCTGCACCTCTATGTTAAGATGGTCCGACTAAACAGACTGAAAGGCCCTCTGGTGTAGCAGGCAGAACCACAGCAGAGTTATGTGGCCACATAGGGGCCGGAGAACAACAGAATGTGCTGTCCATTGTCCCAGTGCAAGTTAAGGCAGCAAAAGGCAGTCAAGTCTTTCAAGTCTATGCCCTCCTGGACCCTGGTCCCACCGCTACCTTCTGCTCCGAAGCGCTGATGTCTAAACTCAACCTGAAAGGCAGAAAAACACATATTCTGTTGAGCACAATGAATCAGAAAAAACTGGTGCCATCTCATGTCATACCTGGAATTGAAGTTTCAGCACTGAACAGCGACAACTTCTTACCTCTTCCTGACGTTTTCACCCAGAGAGAAATGCCAGTCACCTCCAGTAGCATTCCCAACCAGAATGACTTAACGCAGTGGGCGTACCTGAATAAAGTCAAACTTCCCAGTATCAGTGCTAAAGTGGAATTATTAGTTGGCACGAATGCTCCAAAGCTGTTAGAGCCATGGGAGGTTATTAACAGCCAAGGTGAGGGCCCCTACGCAGTAACAACTCTATTGGGGTGGGTTGTAAATGGGCCACTCAGAAATGGCGGTGAGGGCAGTACGGCGAGAGTGACTGTGAATAGGATATCTGCCACAAGTTTGGAAGAGCTTCTAATGTCACAGTACAACCAGGACTTCAACGAAGTGTCATCTGAGGAAAAGCCAGAGATGTCAGTTGAGGACAAAATGTTTTTGAAAGTAGCCAGTGAGGCGACCCTGCAAAACGGACCCTAGAGTCTAAAGTTGCCTTTCAGGAAAGCCAATGTCAGCATGCCTAACAACCGCCAAATTGCAGAACAGCGCCTGCAGGGCTTAAAAAGGAAGATGAAGGGGGACCAGCACTACAAGCAGGAATACGTTGCATTCCTCAACGACATCTTGGAGAACAACTATGCAGAGGAGGTCCCACAGGGAGATCTGACACAGTCACCCGGACACAAATGGTACATGCCACACCATGGGGTGTACCACCCCAAAAAGAAAAAGCTTAGAGTGGTTTTTGACTGTGCAGCCTCTTACCAAGGCATGTCCCTGAACACAGAGCTACTGCTGATCTGAATAATTCTCTTGTGGGAGTCATTGTGAGATTTCGCAAAGAGCCAATTGGATTTATGGCCGACATAAAATCAATGTTCCATCAGGTCAGAATGGATAAATCTCATGTGGACTACTTGCGGTTCCTGTGGTGGCCACAAGGTGATACCAGTAAGCCCCCAAAAGAATACCGCATGCTGGTGCACATGTTTGGTGCCGTGTCCTCCCCAAGTTGTGCAATTTTTGCGCTACAAAAGACGGCTGAAGACAATGAACATGGGTTCCCACCTCAAGTAGCTGAAACGGTCCGAAACAACTTTTATGTTGACGACTGTGTAAAGTCTGTCGCAAAAGAAACTGAAGCCATTCAGCTAGTGAAGGACCTCACTGCGTTATGCAGGAGAGGCGGGTTTCAGCTGACCCAGTGGGTTAGCAACAGCAGAGCAGTTCTGGCCTCCATCCCCACAGAGCAAAGGGCAAAGGATGTTAGGACTTTGGATCTCGACAAAGACAGTCTCCCCATTGAAAGAACATTGGGTTTGCAGTGGGGTGTGGACTCTGACCATTTCCAGTTTAACATCCATCTCAACCAGAAGCCACATACACGAAGAGGAATACTTTCAGTTGTAAGTTCAATCTTTGATCCACTCGGCTTTCTGGCTCCTCTGATTCTCCCAGCCAAGCAGTTGCTACAAGAGCTCTGCCAGAGAGGCTTCGGGTGGGACGAACCTTTGCCCCAGACTATATCAGATAAATGGATCGAATGGATAGCAAGTCTGGAGAGGATAAAACACTTCCAAGTGCCTCGCTGTCTGAAGCCAGAGAGCTATGGAACACACACGTTTGCACAGCTGCATCACTTCTCAGACGCCAGTGAGAATGGCTATGGCTCAGTAAGCTACATCAGGCAGGTTAACATTCAGCATGTTGTTCATGTTGCCTTTGTCCTAGGAAAATCCAGAGTCCTTCCTTTAAAGCACATCACAGTACCGCGGCTGGAGTTGGCAGCTGCAACACTGTTGGTGAAGGTGGATAAAATGCTGAGGAAAGAACTACACATGGACTTAAACCCCTCAGTCTTCTGGACGGATAGCCAAACAGTACTCAAGTACATTGGTAATGACTACACTAGGTTTAAGACCTATGTTGCCAACAGAGTGTCACTGATTTGTGACAATAGTGAACGGTCTCAATGGAGATATGTAAGCAGCAAGGAAAATCCTGCTGATGACGCCTCGAGAGGAATGAGTGCAGTCAAATGTATGCAGCAAAAAAGATGGATACATGCCCCAGAGTTCCTATGGAAGCCAAAGGAAAGTTGGCCTGTGGAAAAATCATTGACCTCCGAGCCATTGTTGCAAAATGACCCAGAGGTCAGGAAAAACGCTGCTGTATTCACAACAGTGGCAAGCATTGAAACTCCCACAGACCGCCTTATTTCATACTTCTCTGATTGGAAGAGGCTACTTAAAGCAGTGGCATGGTACCTCAAGGTGAAGAAGGCTCTGATGCTGACCGTCAAAAAGCATAAAGAGCTTTCCTCAGGTCCCATCACCACCCGCTCGAGCAGCCAAAAGGTGAGCACTGAGCTAAGCGCTTTCAGGTCCACACTTGGTGGCCAGCTCCTCACAGTGGAAGACCTCTCACAGGCAGAGAGGTTAGTCATCACCTATGTTCAAAAGCAATCCTTCCCAGTGGAAATGGCAGCGCTGGAAACCGCTCCATTTAGAGTGCAGAAGAGCAGTAAGATCTGTAGGCTCGATCCTATACTGGATGAAGGCATCATGAGAGTACACAGATCTGCAATGCCTGATGAGACCAAGCACCCTTATATTCTGCCCAAGGATGCTCACACTTCAGTTCTCCTACTACGACACATCCACGAACGCTCTGGACACAGCGGGAGAAACTACATGCTTTCAGAGCCCCGTAAGAAGTACTGGGTTTTAAAAGGAAACTCAGCAGCAAGGAAAATAGTCTCAAAGTGTGTTGTGTGTCGGCGTGTGAGAGGCAAGACAGGTGAGCAGAAAGAATGCTACCTGACCTCCCTCCTTTCACCAACGTCGGATTGGACTATTTTGGACCGCTTAAAGTGAAGCGAGGAAGGAGTATGGTTAAACGGTATGGAGCCCTGTTTACCTGCATGAGTAGCAGAGCTGTACATCTGGAGGTGGCTTACTCGTTAGACACAGACTCATGTATTCATGCTCTGAGAAGATTTGTTTGCAGGAGAGGTCAGGTTAAGCATATCAGATCGGACAACGGTACAAACCTGGTGGGGGCCCAAACTGAGCTCAAAAAGGCCATGAGTTCACTAAACGAAGGGAAAATCCAAGGCGCTTTGCACCCTGAAGGAATCCAGTGGAGTTTCAATCCACCGGCGGCCTCACATTATGGTGGAGTCTGGGAAAGACTCATAAGATCTGTCCGTCAGGTGCTGACCTCCACTCTCCATCAGCAAACCCTCGACGATGAAGGCCTACAAACCATCTTCTGCGAGGTAGAGTCCATTCTCAATAACCGTCCTCTCTCCACCGTGTCCTCCGATCCACACGACCTGGAACCACTGACTCCCAATCACATCCTCCTGCTAAAAACGCAACCCAGCCTACCTCTCCGGGAAGGTTTCAGAGATCTGACCTCTATGCCAGGTGCCGCTGGAAGCAGGTCCAGTACATGGCGGATCTGTTCTGGCATAGATGGACACAGGAATACCTCCTGCTGCTCCAAGAGAGACAGAAATGGAACACAGTGAGGAAAAACTTTAGCGTTGGAGATGTCGTCCTGGTAGTTGACCCAACTGCTCCACGGGGGTCGTGGCCATTAGGCAGAGTACTGGAGACCAAGCCTGATGCAAGAGGTCTGACCCGTGAAGCTCCAGACGAAAACCTCCATTATCGATAGGCCCATAGCTAAGCTGTGCCGCCTCCTGGAGACGGAAGAATAATAGGTCTTCTTAAACATCAATAAGGGATGTAATGTATATACTTTATTTTTCTAAATTCATTATTCATTGGTCGTTTTACGGCTCCCTTTTTGCTAATTTGAGTAATTGATTCTGAGAGAACAATTAGGGGCCGGTGTGTAGGAGCCGCATTTAAGTTTATTTTGTTTTGATTTATTTGGAACCTTTATTAATGCATTTTTCTGTTTCAGTGAGAGGTGTGCTTTGCTCAGGTGAAGGGGGCGGGGCTAAGGCTTTAAATTGGAGGTGCGGTGTGTGACGAGGGGCAGCAGGCAGCAGCAATACCGTCATTGACACGCAGACCACGCAACCTTATGCTTAGTCAAATACAGATTATTAGGATCTGCTGTTTAAGTTTGTTACATATTGTTTTCGTATTTTGTTTTACTGGAAATAAAACGTTGAAAAGCAACTGAAACGTCCAGTGGATTGTGTACTGCGAGTCTGACACTGCTTCCGAGGCCCAAGCTCTACATGTGGCCAAGAAACAATGACTTTTGAGGTGAAGGTTACAAGACAGACTTTTTGGGATTTTGGCCACTACATTCATCAATAACTGCAATAATCCTCAGGTGGATAATATCCTCCCTCTCTCAGGGAGGGTTCGATCACATGGGACACTTTATTCAAATCAGTCAGACCTTTATTCCTGATAGAAAGAGCACATATTTACGTGTTGTCCGCTTGGCAAACCTCCGCGGGCCCACATGTGACAGTAGAGAGGACTGCAGACAGAGAACAGACTCCAGAAGAGCAGGGCCCTAAGTAGGGCATCTCTATACCCGGCATTACAGCGCCACCTTGGGGGAGAATGGAGGTAATGACATTACACTTCAGTAACTACAGGCAGAATTTAAGATAGGGCAACAACAGACATGACAAGTATCACATTTAACTTAGAGCAGGGGTGCCCAACCAGTCGATCGCGTGACCCCATGTGTCGGGGCGTGGCTGGTGGGCAGTGGGCACTAGTTAGCTGACGTTGTCTGTGAAGGCTTCAGAGACTCAGAGACTGGATATACCCCCCCCCCTCTCTCTGGTCGCTGAAATGGAGAATTTAAATTACGGGCCAAAAGTTGTATTTACAAGTATTAAAAGTAAGCAGAGGACACCAAACCAACTGAGACCCGTCTGTCCGCCGCATCTACACACTGTACACCACACACACACACACACACACACACACACACACACACACACACACACACACACACACACACACACACACACACACCACACACACACACACACACACACACACACACACACACACACACACACACACCACACACACACAACCCACACACACCACACACTGTACACCACACACACCACACACACACACACACACACACACACACACACACACACACACACACACACACACACACCCACACACACACACACACACACACACACACACTGTACCACACACACACCTACACACTGTACCACACACACACACACACCTACACACTGTACACAACACACACACACACACACACACACACACACACACACACCTACACACTGTACCACACACACACACACACACACACACCACACACACACACACACACACACACACACCTACACACTGTACCACACACACACACACACACACACACACACACCTACACACTGTACCACACACACACCTACACACTGTACCACGTGTGACCCACACAAAGTGTGTGATCACAATTTTATGTTTATATTTAATATCATTTTAGAAACCTGTAACAATGGACAGCAGGGGGCAGTAGATGGCAGGGTAACACTGCTGTAAAGGGGTTTGTTGTGATTTGGGCATGCCGTAAACGGACTGATGTGGAGACGGAGCTGGCGTTGGCTTGCCATTCTGGCAAGACCCACCAAACGGTCAGTTTTGTGTACATATTGTCACAAGTGTTATAAATATCCACGGTAGTGTTGTGTAACGATGTCCTAGTGTTTGAAGTGGTGTTTGGACGTTGTTTATTGTCTTCAATGCTGCGTAGGAGAATGCCTCGTGGTTGCTGTGTGCGCGTGTGTGTGTAATGGCGGTCGCTATTTTTTTTCACAAAGTGAATGCAAGTAAATGTAATTGTTTACAGCTCCTGTACATTTTGTACTTACATCCGGGTTTATATCCTAAGTATTTTGTGTGTGTGTTTTGTATTATCTGTATGTGTTCTATGGTCAGAGTTAATACATAAATGCTTGTTGGATGCTAATGCTAGCACAGATTAGATTCTGATGCTTTACCTGGGAAGGTATTTCAAAGGGTTTGATTACAAAATCAATATCTGAATAGAGAAATTCTTATTTTAAGTCATGGTGTTTATTTCAAATATATTGAAGACATGAATATATATAGACAAGTGTTTATATTGAAGACAGAAAAGGGCATTAACAATTGTGTGTGTGCCAAATGACCCGCCAAACGAGCAACTAAGAATTTGGTTGTTCATCATTTCTCCTGTTTTGCAGGAATACTATCCGTCATCGCGCCCTGCATAGTGGGGCCTGTTACACACACACACCTGCAGCTCCTAAAGCATCCTCAGGCTGCAGCCGTTGTGTATTTTATTTTGTGAAGCACTAAATGCTCTTAGAAACATCTGGACTCTTTGTTTGTAGATATCTACTAAACTAAAGCAAAGAGAGTCGGCTTGTTCTACTGAGTGATATCTATTATACACTGCTCTGCTTTCTGCACGGACCTCTCAGCTGTTCTCTCTGGAAAACATCGCAACGCAATGAAAGCAGTTAATAAAATAATATCCAGGGGATGCATGCAAAGCTGTGATTGGCTGAGATAAGTCCGGCCGTGCGTCACGCCTCTTTGAAGCATCACCGTTCCCGGAAATGCATCCGCGGAGGAGCCATCAGTGTCTCCTCGGTTAGAGCTCCTCCAGAGAGCCTCCTCAATGCTCGATGCTCAGTCCTCGATGTGCATTTAGAGAAATGAGATGTCCTTCAACATGGCGCGCTGAAATCCATTTCCAGGTCACTACCGGAGGACCGAGGAGTCAAGGAGGGGAAATTATTGACAAGCCTTCTGTGTGAACAGGAGTGACAGTCCGCACACACACAAGACCGCAATTATGGCAGAAACAAAAAAGCCCAAAATATATCAGGAGGCGTGTTGCACTGCAGGTTCAAACCCCACTGCAGTCAGCATGTCGTTGTGTCCCTGAGACACTTCACCCCAAAGTGCTCCTGTGGCGATTGCCCTCAGTGTTGAGTGTGAGTCGCTTTGGATAAAAGTGTCTAACAAGTGACATGTGATGTGATGTAATATAATATGATCTTCACTCCGAGTGGGAGGATAATACTTTTTTTGTTTATTCCAATTCAAAGTCCATCTATCTCATCTGCAATGCGAGCGTGGCTTTACCGAAGAAGGGTAAGAGATGAGATTGTTTTGTTTAATATTTTAAGTTTTGTTTCCCGTGGGAACCCCGTCCTGTTGCACGTCTTTGTTTTCTTCTGGTATGTATTTTCCTCCGCGGACTGGCCATCTGGAGAATCTGGAGAATCACAGAACGGCCGGTCGTCAAGGGCCGGCTCGATTCGCTGACGGCCGTCACCGCCCTTCATTTTTTATGTTTTTAAAAGGCATCATTGAAGTTGCACCGACAGAGGTCCGCCGTTTCCCCGCAGCGAGGCTCCCCCCCCAGTTGACAGTTCGCTAGCCCCCCCCCTCTCTATTTGGACTGGTAGATCTTGGCAGTCTGGCAACTTTAAAAGTAGCTCTTGGTTCAAAAAGGTTGGGCACCCCTGACTTAGAGGATCCCTTTCTTTGGCAACTCCAGACCAGCTTACCTGAGCCTCTGCATCCACTCAGGTCTCGAAAAGTAGATCTTCCTGAACGAGGCTTCCAGGTATCCATCACCGTGCCACCGACATTTGTAGAAATGTCCTAGTAAAGGATTAAACAGAATATATTTGTATGTATATTATTTATTTAACAGGGACATTGCACACTAAGAACAATTTCTGTAAATGTGCCAGAATTAGCCAAGAGGCTCTTTTACGTCTGTAGCCCCTGGACAGATGTTTGAACCTTAAAAACACATTTAAAATAACTAGTAAACACAATCATTAAAAACAAAGGTAACCTCAAACTGTGAACATGAATGAAAGTGTTCTCTAGATGCCACTTGTGATATATTTCCTCCGATGTTAGGACATGAAGTGACAGTGAGAGCAGTGGGGAGCTCCTTCATTATTCCAGATTGATATTTCTAATGAACTCCTTTGTCCACTTGAGGGCAGGAAGAAGCAGAACCACCAGCCCTTCGGTGCTTCGGGCCGAAGCCCCGGACACTTTTCCACTCCCCCGTTGCAACTTACAACGGAGAGGGGAATCCAAGCCTCCCCTACTCCGTCAAAAAAAATTCATTCATCATTTTCAAGCTACTATCTGCACGAAATCGGAAACCCGGTTTTTGAGAGGGCTCAGAAAAAAACAGCTGTTTCACTTCATGGAGGAATGTGTCTGCTCCATGTGTGCTCTGGCTCGGATACAATTGTTGCCTGGAGACCCCCCAGCATGGTTCTTACCAAACTTTAAGTTTTTGTACTGGTCTCTGGAGGAATCTAAGGGGAGTTGTCAGGGGACTCTATCCGCCTTATGAGACAATATTTTCGGATACATTTTTATCACTTTTAGCCCTTTTTTTATGGTTCTCCAAAAAGTGAACTTAGACTTTTTCTGACTCTGGAGGAATGTAAGGAGAGTTGTCAGGGGACTCTACCCGCATTATGAGACACTATTTTCGGATACATTTGCTCACTTTCACCCCTTTTCTATGGATCCCCAAAGAGTGAACTCAGAATTTTTCTGACTGTGGAGGAATGCAAGGGGAGTTGACAGGGGACTCTTGCGGGCTCATGATGCACTATTTTCGGATACTTTTTTTCATTTTCAGCCCTTTTCCATGGATGAATTGAAACTTATTTTTTTTTACATTTTGGTCAATTTGACCCAGTTCTGGTACCGCATTGCCTGGAGGATAGGATCGAGTGATGACAGACTCTCTGGCCGCCTCACAAGTTGTTAAACTATTGTCGGACACTTTCTTTGCTTTACCCCGGTTCTATCACTTTTTCCTCCTTTGACCATAAAACGTGTTTCCTGCTGGGGTACTGCCTGGTTCCGGGGCACCCCAAACCCTCTCATGGTCTGGGCACCATGAATTGATGCATCGGACCCAATGTTGCCATCCCCAGCCCCGCGTTGGTGCGGAGGTGGGACCATTTAACCCGGTGGTAACCCAAGTCCTCCCTTGGTCCGTGTACCATGCATTGAAGCATCGGACCCATTGTTGCAATCACCGGTTACGCTAACTAGTGCTGGGGGGAAACGATTATTTTGAAAACGATTAATCGGGCGATTATTTGATCGATTAGTCGACTAATCTAACGATGATTTTTCTGTTGTTCAATTCATAAAAAACGTAATGTAAAACATTTTTTTTTCACGATACTGTGTCTCAGGGGATCTTAATATTTAAGAACCTATTAATGTGTTATACCAGATTAACGGAAATAATCTCAGCTAACTGACGATACAAACCATGTTTACCAAAACAAAACACAAGTCTCATAAGAAGCATCTAAATGACCCCTGAGCGAAAAATGCTAACGGACCCAAGAACTCAGAACTCAAGATAAAAGTACCCTTATTACTTATCGTAGCTGCACTTACAATATATCCGATTAAAGCTGAGACTCCACAGATTATGTAGGTACATAGTATCATCACTGAGTGATCCGGACTCGCGACAGGGGAAGCAAATACAGTCATCACAACACGTACCTTCCCAGAGCTTCTAGGGAGATCGTCTCACCACCGTAGCTGTCAATCTGATCAAAAGACGTGTTCAATGGCATTCAAATGAGAAAAAACGCGGCTGAATCGGTTAATCCATAGGTTTTTAACGTCTATGTATAAAAAAATGATTGAATTTATAATCCATAATTCCATTTTATGTAAAAATCGGAGAGCAAATGCTAGCTGCTAATGGTAGCCACCACAGCTAGCTGCTGCTTCTGCTAGGCTATGCAGCAGTCTCAGTGAGATATAAATATATAAATATCTTTGCGTTTTGGACTAACTTTAAAATATTCCCATGCTTTGGAAGACCTAGGGCGAGATGTTTTCGTTTGGGGGCTTCGTGCGTAATCCTGTGAGGAGGAGGTGGTAGCCGTTTCAGTCTCCATTGTGTTTGAAGTGCGATTGCGAACTGCTTGTTGCTTTGGGTGACCCACGTGTGTGTAGTGACGCGTCGACGCGGAAATATGTCGTCGACGATATTTTGAAGTCGACGTTGTCGACGTGTTGCTACAGCACTAACGCTAACGCATATAAACGGAGAAACAGAAAATAATTTAAATACAATTCACTGTGTCTGTTTTAGTAAGGATGTCGTCCGAATGCCCGGTGTGCAGACTCTGCTATCTGGCTTTGAACAAGCACCTTAAGCACAAACATGCAGTGCAGAACTTGGAGGAAAGAGGCATCATTCTTAAAATGGCTAGTGGCAGAATAAATGTTCGGACCAAACCCTGTCCCATCACAGGGTGTTCGTATGCTGGGAAGAAACTAGACCGTCATGTAACTCATGACCACCCTGAGTTCTCCCGAGATGAAGCACATCAGGTCCTGGCAAGGCTGAAGTGGCATTGAGGGCTCAGAAGGATGCCCTCAATGATGAGGTGAAGACCCTGCACTCCAGGCTGAAAAAGGGGCTAAAACCCAGGAAGCAGAGTGCCACTGCTGCTGTGCTTGAGGAAGAGGAAGAATGTATACGATTTAAGGGCCTGGCAATCTCAAGTACCTCCAGCATAAACACAGTAGCCTCCGGCAGCAATACCCCTCTCAAGACCCCGGTCAAGACGGCCATGCATTCACCAGAAGCCTCCGGCAGCAATACCCCTCTCAAGACCCCGGTCAAGACTGTCATGCGGTCCCCAGAAGCCTCCGGTAGTGAGACCCCTCTCAAGACCCCGGTCAAGACTCTCATGCAGTCCCCAGAAGCCTCCAGTAGTGAGACCCCTCTCAAGACCCCGGTCAAGACTGTCATGCATTCACCAGCAGCCTCCGGCAGCAATACCCCTCTCAAGACCCCGGTCAAGACTGTCATGCGGTCCCCAGAAGCCTCCGGTAGTGAGACCCCTGTATGCCAGAAGACCGGTGCGTCTGTCTACAATAAGCTGAAAGCTAATCTGGCTAAGGACTGGCCCTCTCCTCACTGGTCCACTGGGAAGGGACGGGGGAATACCATGCGTGAAATCACGTTGCCTCAAAGCATGGAGACGTACATTCAGACATACAGGCATCATTGTGAGGGTGTCGCACCGACAGTAAAACTGAAAGAAAATTGTCTGTCCAAGGTCAGCTGGATAAAGAACTTCCTCGTATTCATGTCCCATGGTGTTAACCGGCTGTCAGATTGGCTGTTCCTAAAAGACACGGAGAGGGTCCGTGGCTGGAGCGAGTATATTGTAAAGTCGGGCCGGGCAGTCACAACATCGCTGTTGTTCCTGAATAATGTGAACCATTTCCTGAGGTACTTGTCTGAGTCAAAGCTCCGGGGGTGCAGGCTCACCCAGTCTGATATGACCCACATCATCAGAGAGGTGAAAGCCAACATGAAAGACTTGAAAAAGTCTGTCACTGTCCACCAGTTTAAGGTGAAGAGGAACAAGCTGGATCGTCTGCCGAGCCAGACGGAGCTTCTCGCCGCCATGGCGGCCGCTGAGAAGCGCATCCCTGATCTCCTTGACCTGATGGCTAACAATCTGACCTCAATCACCCAGTACCTGCTATATGGCTATCTAACCCTCCATTGGAGCCTCCTGTATGGCCACCGTCCGGGTGTGTACGCAAACATGACCAACACTGAGGTGTTAGAGGCGGACATAAGGGGCACTGCTGAGGGCTACATCATCCACGTGCAGGATCACAAGACTGCCAAGACATTTGGCGAAGCACAGCTGGTGCTTACAGTAAAGGAGTTTAGCTGGGTCATGCGGTGGATGGGGATAAAAGAGGGCTTGTCGGGTTCTCAGAATGAATTCTTCCTTTTCACAACGGGGACGTACGCCTCCAGGAACCTGAACGCTCACTTGAAGAGGGCTTGGGCTGATGCTGGGCTAGAAACAGCCGTCACCTTCACAATCCTGCAGACCGGTTCTACGCGAATACGCCTGGAATAAAGGAGGGATTGAAGATCCGATCCATGTTCAGGGCGGCAGCAGCAGCAGCAGCATCATCGGAAGGAGTTCTACCGCCGTCAGATACCTCCGAAGAGGACTCAGAGGCGGATAGCAGCGATACCTCTTCTTCAGGGCCGGTTGATACTCCTGATGTGGGGGTAGAGGCCGTGGACTCAGCCTGTTTCCCTCGGTGCACCGTACAAGTTAGACGGCTCATATGGCCCCCGGGCCCCCGCTAATCATGTTTTTATCATGTGTTTATTGTGTTTATTATGTTTATTATGCATATTGTGTATACTGTTTTTGTAAAAATCATGTGATAATTAAATAAATAAAAAAACATTTTAATAACGTTTAAGGTTCCCAGGGGTTGATACAGTGCCAGGTATCAGACTATTTAAACAAAGTTTACCCAGGATTCAGACACCTTCCCTGTCTTGTAAAATGTAGTGCGGCCTGGAAGTATCAGACTATTTTAAACAACTTTTCCCCGCCTTTGAAACACTTATTTCCTGGGTTTTAGCCTGTCATTTTGCAAGATATGATTTAACATTGAAGCTCTCCTGGAAATTGACATATTCTGCCCACTTCCAGGAGAGCTTCAATGTTAAATGATATCTTGCAAAATGACAGGCTAAAAATCTCTTCCAAACGTTTAAAAACACTTCCCCCAACAATTTAAACATTATTTCTGGCTTGTAAAGTGCAGTGATGAGCCCTGGTAGTATCGGACTATTTACACAAAGTTTTCCCAGGATTCAGACACCTTCCCTGGCTTGTAAAATGTGGTGATGCACCCTGGAGGTATCATACTATTCAAACAAAGTTTACCCATGATTCAGACACCTTCCCTGGCTTGTAAAATGTGGTGATGCACCATGGAGGTATCATACTATTTTAAACAACTTTTCCCCGCCTTTGAAACACTTATTCCTGGGTTTTAGCCTGTCATTTTGCAAGATATTATTTAACATTGAAGCTCTCCTGGAAATTGACATATTCTGTCCATCTCCAGGAGAGCTTCAATGTTAAATGATATCTTGCAAAATGACAGGCTAAAAATCTCTTCCAAACGTTTAAAAACACTTTCCCCGACAATTTAAACATTATTTCTGGCTTGTAAAGTGCAGTGGTAGTATCAGACTATTTAAAGGGTTACCAGGGCCATGAGAACATCCTCCACAGGAGGGTGGGTGGTGCTGTGAATAAGGACGGATATGGATGCCGATGGGCAGACGATAAAGCACCGCAAACTACACCCCCCCCTTTAAGGTTCCCAGGGGCACGAGGTTCTTGAGGATGTGATCATCTGGGTTTAGTCCGTGGGGGAGTGCTTAAGTTCGGGGGCCCGGGGACCCAAGGTGCGCAAGGTTATGGAAGTACGCATGTCAGGGAGCGATGCTGGAGGTGCTTAGTCCGTGATTTGGGGGTCTTGGAGCCGCCACAGAGAGGTGCTTTTCCCGGTGTATTTCATGGAAGTCTGACATAGCCTGTGTCCTGTGAAATAGCCTGTTTGCCCATGTCAAATCTTGCTATTAATTGATAACTTTTAATAGGAATCTCTGTTTGACATATGTTCAGAATGTGCTATTCATAGAGAAATAGCACATTCTGAATGACCCAGTGTACACATCGTTGTGTACCTCTGTGTCACAGCCCGCTGCTGCTCTCTCCCTGTATTCACAGCACTTTTACCCAGCTTTCACACACTCATTCCTGGGTAATTAAACTAGTTTAATGCACTTTTTAACACTGACATACCCAGGATTGAAGCTTCTTTCCTGGGTTACATAGTGCTGTGAAGCAGCCTGTCCTCTGGGTGGGAGAGCGAGGTGCTGGAAGGAGCACTCTGGGTCACAGCCTGCTGCTGCTCTCTCCCTGTATTCACATAACTTTTACCCAGCTTTCACACACTTATTCCTGGGTAAGAAAGCCATGTGCATGACCCTGGATCTCTGCCTGTGAGTGTGGGACCCTGCTTACAGTCCGTCGTTTGGGGCTCTGTCACTTTGGGTAACCGCACCACTGTCAGACGTCTCCTGAGAATGGACGTCCATTCTCTCTAAATAGGGTTAGGGTTAGGTAAGAGCCTCATGTCATACTTACTAAACTAGCAGAAAACGGATGGCCACGATAATGAAAGAAACGAAGACCAGTTTGTAAACCATGATTGTAGAATGCCCAAGCCATCTGAAAGCAGGAACAGAGAGAGAAATATCAGGAAATGCTTCCAACATTTTACAAATAAACTTTGATTTGAAGTTGTCTTTGCCACACAATGTCTTTGAAATGTTCATTTTGTACAAACAGCTGGACAGCCAGTCAGTGTGTAACAGGGATCGGATCAGGACTCACAACACTTGTAGCACCACTTTTGAACCTTAAATACAGGTAACCCAGTGACTGGGTTTTGATGTTAACAAATTGTGGGCGAGGGTTCAATGTGCTTATTCTTATGTTGTATTCCAGATTGTCTGAAGCCACCCCGTCGTTGGTCATCATACAGTCAATGCCGTCCTCAGTTGGGTCATTTTTGAAACAAACTTCAACCTTATTGGCCATCTTCACCTGCAAAAACAAAAAAAGGAACTACATTATGAAGGCTTTCACTCCATCGTTTCTTCTCCTCAAATGTCTGAGCTGCAAGGTGTGCTTTTAGCTACGGAGAAAGAAGATAGGATCAATTATGAGATCAAAACATTTCTCTCACTTTGGACAAAACCTTTCTACAAGCCACTGTCCAACAAGTCTTTATGTCTCCTTTCATACAGAGACACATGTGGAATCAAAGTCTGAGCGTTGACTTGGTTCTGGGCACATTCAGGAGCAGTTGATCCGCTGACCTGAGAGGGCGTGTAAGGGTGGAGCAGCTCAGAAAGATATGGTGGGGTCATGCCATTTAGGGATTTAAAAGTCAATAAAAGGATTTTGAAATGAAGCCAAAATGGGGGAAATGAGGTCATATTTCCGTGAGCCAGTTAAAAGCCTTGCTGCATCATTTTGTACCCGCTGCAGACGAGCATGTAATAATATATAACATTAAACAGTGAGTTATGTGTAATATCTGTAATATCTACAATACCTTTATTATGTGTAATATGTGTAATAATGCCAGTCCTCAGCAGTCAGTGTGTGTGCTGGATGATCACAGGAAACACAGGCAGGGGTTCATTGTACTCACGTGTACCCATGTGTAGGTTTTTCCATAGAAAGTGATGGGCAGGGTGCTGATGTCGATGTTTCCACCTGGAGCATTCATAGTGACCCTTACAGAGGCAGAGAGCTCCATCTGGCTGGCAGCAACTGCAGGAGTTCCAGGAGAAACACATCCATCAGGAACAACCTGAACACTCATCGCTCCCTGAAGTCTCTCCTCTGACTTGAAGTGACACTCATCAGAGCAATGAGTGAATAATGATATCCTTATTTGTTCTGTAAAACATGTGCTCCTTCAGGGTGAATGTATACAGGGTATCTGGGTTCTGTTCCATTCATAAATACAAGTGGTTGAAGGCTAACCCCCTCATTAACTGAAGCCATCAACATGTTGAATAAGAGCTACCCGTTCACATTTATATTGATTTCATGGATGAGCTCATGTTTTAAAAGTCTATCATTCAAACATTATCTTGTTTTATTTGCACAAAGCAGACAGTAGAGTAGTGCGGGGCTATTACACACTCGCAGTGACTCTATGCACAGAGGACTTGACTTTGAAACGCATTCATAATGCCTTTCAAACACATGTTGTTTGTCACAGTGAAGCCTGCGATGCTGCTTACCTGCCAGCAGGAGGAGCAGCTTCATGACTCTGCAGAGGAAGAGGCACAAACACCGGGTTAACGCACCATAACACACAATAACAGCGTACACAATGAAGGGTCCTCGGCAGGAAGTGGTTCATACACTTCCTGAAGATTCAAAACAATGTTCTCTAAACCCGTCAAATGCTCCCTGACTGGTTCCCTGATGCCACCAGTTTAGTGATGCGAAGAGGCTGTGAGCAAAACTGAGACATTGAGATGAGAAGACGTACTGGTGCAGTGGCGGTTCTAGACCAATTTGACTGGGGGGGCCAGGCTGGGGCCAGTTATTGACTGAGGGGGGCACAATAAATGCAGGACGAAAAAGACAAAGACAGTATGAAGTATTTGCGCATACACCTAAGAAAACAATGCAATACAGTTATTGGTATTTGTTTCATTACACATTATTATATGCTTACCTTTAACTAGACCCTCCAGAAAAACGTGGGCAAAAATCCTTGATTATGCGATTAAACATGCGTTTTTATGTGATTTTATGCGGTGAAATTGCGGAAAGTTGCGAAATATGCTAAATATTTTTTGGGAAATATTGGGCTGTTTTATTTATTCTCTCTCACACACACACACACACACACACACACACACACACACACACACACACACACACACTTCTCCGCCTCATTCTGTTTTCATTCACTCGTTATCTGACCAGCTTCCATCTTGTAGGCTTCTCACCTCGTTTCTTGTAGCCCTCAAAGGCTTTTGGAGGTCGATGCCTCTGTGAACGTGAGTTGCTTTCTTGTCCGCAGCAGCAGAAAGCATGTTCCAATGTTTGAATGAATCAAAGTGGGTCGTCACCGTGGATGTTCTCTTATGCTCCAACACAGTTGCACGGGGTGCAGAATAGTTTCCCCCCACCTTCGTGCGAGACATCGGGGAACTGCTTTGCCCGGTCTTTAGCAGAAATGTTCGTCGGTAAATGAGATGGATTAGATTTTTCATCTTGGTGTTTTCTCTCTCGTGTGAGCTCCACAGGTTCACTCTACGGTGTTGTTTACCTTCTGTGATGCGCGAGCTGATGACGTTGCGTCATCATCATCACTTCACGTCAAGACGAGTTAACTTTTTTTCCTCAACTTTGTGTGGAAAATGCGGGGATTATGCGCCTTTGATAAATATGCGGCCTTTTGCTGATTATGCGGTCAATTCTGCGATCGCAGAATCGCGTTTTTCTGGAGGGTCTATTTAACCTTTGTGTGCTGTTTGGGTCTGTGGGACCCGTTTTCAGTGTTTACTAAAAGAACATGTATGCAATTGAATTATTTGAACCTGCTTTATTTGGGGGTGGACCTCACCTCCTCTAGGGGGGTCCGGGGGTATGCAGCCCCCGGAACATGTGTTTTTAAATTTTGAAGTGAAATACATCAATCACCACTTTGAGCACAACATGCATTTATGGACTCAGCTCTCAGATGAAAGAGAGCTGTTTACTTTTCAATAATCCAAACATCTTTAGAATATGATCACAACCAACAACAAATCATTTGAACTTGTTTATTCTGATCTTATGTTACATAGTTAGTATTCTGTCTTTATGCATATTTTACTAATCACTCCCCTTTCAAACTGTTTTTGTTTTACTGTCCTGTACACATTGGAATGACTGCTTGATTTTTTACAACACTTCTCTCTCTCTCTCTCTCTCCTCTCTCTTCTCTCTCTCTCTCTCTCTCTCTCTCTCTCTCTCTCTCTCTCTCTCTCTCTCTCTCTCTCTCTCTCTCTCTCTCTCTCTCTCTCTCTCTCTCTCTCTCTCACAGTGTGCTCCTCCGTGGCGATGACGGCTTGCGTTAAAAAAAAAAAAAAAAACATATTTGTAAAGTGGGGGCCATTGAGGGCTTGCGAGATACCGGTAGCTCGTGATCGACGTGTTGAAGACCCCTGCTCTAATGGGTCCGACTAGAATGACAAATATCGTTACTTCCACCTATTCGTTACTTCTGGCCAAAGGTGCGTTATTACTTTCTGGACCTGTTCAACCCACAAACTCGGTTCAAACACCAAAACGTTCATCTCAGTTAGGAATGCTTTGATTCATATTCATCATAATTCTTCAGCATTTCAGTACAGAAGTCAATGGAGGAACTGCTAAGACTTCAGCTGCTACCTGCTCCCCGTACGTTACTCAGAAAGCTCAGCATTCAGCATTCAGCATTCACACGGACCTCTCTTCAGGATTCTCTGTGTTCCTGAGGGGACTGGTCCCTGCACCGAGTCACAGGAGGCTTCCTGACGGGGCTGCAGGACCGTGAGGAGAAAGAAGTGGAGACTCACCGTCTGGAGGTCCGGGGCAGCTGATGGCTCTCTGGGGCAGCTGATGGTTCTCTTGAGGTCCTGGTCCTGGTTCTGGTCCTGGTCCTGCAGGTGCAGCTCTGATGTGGTGCTGTGTCTCGCTCCGTCTCTTTTTATGCTGTCTCTTCTCTTCCAGCCCCTAAAGACTGATGCAAACATTCCTGAAAACTTCTCAGTCTGGTTATTCGTGTATTTAATATTTCAGAACACTTTCCAGCGTCCGAGAGGCCCCGGAGCAAATACTTTGCTTTGAGGTCCTCGTAAACAGGTTTCTACCAAATCTCTAAATCACAGGTGTCAAACTCAAGGCATCAGCCGTTGATAGCAGCCGCACTCTGAGGGGGGGGGGAATGAATGAAAAGAGATTTAAAAAAAGACGTTTTGGATTGCGGAGACAGGACGTCTTTTTGCTTTATTCAGACGATACATACTTTAGTAAAGCTTGTGAAGGCAGGAGGAACACCTCACTGCCCCCCCCCCCCTGGAAATAATGAGTGACAGGCTGGTAGTAACCATAGTAACACGGCAGGGTCCGGGACATGGGTTTTGAAAGTCTTGGGTTTCAGACTATTCAACATAGCGTGAGGCTCAGGTTTGGGAAGGCTAAATACATTTTTTACCTGACGCTGCCCGCCTCCGCCGTCTATAGAAAAGAGATCAACTCAGTTAAACTGCCTGCTGACCAATCAGAGCTCAGTGTGCGGAGTTTAAATCTCTCAAGTCATATCCCATAAAGGAAATACAGTTTAAACTGCCGTATGCAGAGAAGACGCCGACGTGTCGCACTTATCATTCATATCACATCATCAATCAGATCATCGATCATATAATATCATAATATATCATATATCTCCTGATCTGAGTCAGCTGAGCCGTATCTGGCCGTGCAACACTCAGTGTCACAGACTTCATGCAGAAGTATTATTTTAAGCAACACATTATGTTGAGGAAACACTGGAGTCAAATGTAATGAAAGTCAGATCCACTCGTGTCTTAGACGGGGCAGTGATATCATAAACCTGTACGCTTTCAAACACTTGGTAGTTATTTTTTAACCAGTTGTTCTGTATTCTCCTTGCAGCAACTCTGTGGCTTCTATCCTGGATTATATGTTTAAGTCATCATGGATGTTTAAAGTTCATATTTGTCTAATATTAGTTTACTTTTCATTAATGAAGTATGACGCTGCGCTGTCAGTACACTTGTCCCTGTTTGTGATTGGTCAAATGTTGCTAACCCCGCCCCTTTCACGTGAACGCGCTCTCAGCTGGAGAGAGAAACCCTGGCTTGATTTACAGAGTTGATAACCAGCGCCGTAGGACCGCTTAGCGAGATCTCGTTAGTTAGTTTGTTGTTGTTTGTTAGTTTGTACTCAAACATATGTTGAACATATGTCTGTTGAACTGGCTTCGTAGCACACAGGGCACAGGTGCAGCGCTAATGTCAAAGACACAGACATTATACATTATATTTGTATTTTACCGCAGTGACACAAATATTTGGGAAGGCTTAGCCTTCCCTAGCCTACAGCACCCGCCGCCCCTGCTATTCAAATATTAGTAAGGTCCTAGCCAGCAAGTGAAGGTTCTGTTATTCCTTTCTCATTTGGTTTTACCTATCCCAGTTTCTCTCAGAAAGGTAAACAGTGCCTTTCTGGTAGCTCTCACTCCTTCTGTCCCCAGAACACAATCCCCCTCTCCCTCTCTGCCTCTATCACTTCATCCTTTAGTTTTTCTCTTTCAGCTTTATAGGTGACACAATTTAATAAAACATGTTCCACAGTTCCCACACTTGTCACTTTCCCCCCATGACGTACCATTCAACGCTGTGTGATTTAGTCTGAGTCTAGCTATCGTCATTTCCTCCCTTCTGCTTCTTTCTTTATAAATATTGATTGTGATTGTCTTTTGAACTTTATGATACTCTTTGCCTTTCTGGTCTTCCTCCACCTCTTCTGCCAGATCTCCGTCCCTTCCTTCCTAACGACTGCTTTTCCTCCTCCTTAGTTCAACTGGTCATTTCCTTTTGTAATGCACTTTTTGCTAATTTATCAGCACACTCGTTCCCTTTCACCCCCTCATGCGAACTCGTTCCCTTTCCCCCCCTCATGCGCACTCGTTCCCTTTCCCCCCCTCATGCGCACTCGTTCCCTTTCACCCCCTCATGCGCACTCATTCCCTTTCACCCCCTCATGCGCACTCGTTCCCTTTCCCCCCCTCATGCGCACTCATTCCCTTTCACCCCCTCATGCGCACTCGTTCCCTTTCCCCCCCTCATGCGCACTCGTTCCCTTTCACCCCCTCATGCGCACTCATTCCCTTTCACCCCCTCATGCGCACTCGTTCCCTTTCACCCCCTCATGCGCACTCGTTCCCTTTCCCCCCCTCATGCGCACTCGTTCCCTTTCACCCCCCTCATGTGCACTCGTTCCCTTTCACCCCCTCATGCGCACTCGTTCCCTTTCACCCCCTCATGCGCACTCGTTCCCTTTCACCCCCTCATGCGCACTCGTTCCCTTTCCCCCCCTCATGCGCACTCGTTCCCTTTCCCCCCCTCATGTGCACTCGTTCCCTTTCACCCCCTCATGCGCACTCGTTCCCTTTCACCCAGCAGAACTGAAGATCTATACCGCCTCTGTGAAGTCTTAACAGGCTATGATTAATTTCTATGAGAATGTCTTCTCTGGCAGTCGATGTTGACTGTATGCTTCTTAAAATGGATAATGAATCTGTGCATATAACCACCATATCTGCTCTGACCTCTTCCACCCACTGCAATCCTATTATTACTGCCAGCTTTTCTGCTGTGTATACTGATAGTTGATCTGACGCTTTTCGATCGATCAATATTTTAAATTCTGGGATATATATACCAACTCCGACACACTCTTCCTTGTTCTTAGAACCATCTGTGTATATTTTGAGGTAGTTGTGATAATTATTCCTGAGGTACATACTTGTTTTGAATCCTACTTCATTTATTTGCCACTCTCTTTTCTTTGATACAATACTCATATCTATATTTACCATTGGGAAAAGCCATGGGGGAACACTGCTGAATGGGTTTGATGGTGAAAACTCTAACTCATGCCGTATGTCCTTATTTTTCCATCCAAACCCACGCATTACATTACATTGCATTTAGCTGACGCTTTTATCCAAAGCGACTTACAATAAGTACATTCGACCAGGAAGACACAACCTTGAAGAAAACAGAATCATAAAGTACATCAGGTTTCATAGAGCCAAACATTTCAAGTGCTACTCAACTGGCTTTAGGTAAGCCAGTCCTTTGTTAGTATATAAGTGCTTCGTTAATAGTTCTAATGCTCGAAGTGGAGTCGAAAAACGCCCCTCGAACTTGGAATATTAGTATTGAGTATATATATAACGTATATATATATATATATATATATATAGTAGTAAGAATGATATAATCTATTTATAATTGTAAATGTATATTGTATGTAGACATACATTTAGATGTATATTTTGTTAAAAGAAAGGGGTGGTAAACTTCTTCCCACGCCTTTTCGGTGTGTAATTGGGTAGATCATTTGTTTATATATCATTTGTAAGTCAATAATATTTACTTCATCAATTTGATACTGCTTATGTTTCTACAGTATCATAATTATCTTATTTAATTTAAATGTATTCTTTTAAAAAAAAATGGTATTACACGTTTGAAATAAATCAAATCAAATGTGTCTCTGAAGAGGTGCTTGATGACTCAAAAACAAGTGTTAGTGTGTTTATGCACCTGGCTGCCAAAGAGAAACATGCGGTTTGACCGAGAGGCATTTCAGTGCACATTTTATTCATTGGACACAATTTCCACAATGAGGATTCTTCACTGGGGTGAGGCGGGGTCTGTTGCTCCCTCAGCCACCAGACAACAGCTCTAGCTGCAGTACCCCGGGAAGCCCTCTTCGGAGTAAAAACCCATCAAGATTCCTCGCCGTCCACTTCCCCGGTAGCCTGTGCCGATGTCCTTATAATGGTCGTCACAGTGAAAGCACCTGGACATTTGGTAGGCCTTCCTGAATTCCCTTTTGTGTCCCTCTGTTAACCTGTTAAACCCCGAGCCTGTTTTTCAGGTTTCAGGCTCGAAAATGACATTCCCAGAACAAATGACTATAACTTCACTTCTAAAAGGTTTATATGAATAATTGTTGTTATCAAAGCAAGGTTACATCTGTGAGTTGGATGTAGAAGTGTCAGAATCAATATAGATTTTTCTGTGTCAGAGTAAATTCAGATGGAACATAGCAAAAAAATGTAAATTCCTGTCTCCGCCTAAAGAAAACCCATTACTTATAGTGAAGACCAACCTTGAATGATGGGTTAGTAGCCTAAAAGCTTTAGGAATCCAAAGTATAACATATACCCTGTATCAAGATTGAGGCAAAACAAGTGACATTTGACCTTTTTAAGAGAGGTTTATGAAAATAAAGTCCAGGCGGAATAAGCTTTGGGCACATTTGGTTCCATCAGTGCAATTTGACCTTTTTCAGGTACCAGACTATAAAAATCATTGCATTACATTGAATCATCACTATAGGTATTCATTCCACCCAAAAAAAAAAAAAATTAAAAAAAATATATATTTTTGTGTGTGTGAGCGTGTGTACTAGGTGTGTGTAAATGTAGGTGTGTAAGTGTAGCTGTATGTGTAAGTGTAGCTGTGTGGGTATGTGTAGGTGTGTGTAGCTGTGTGGGTATGTGTAGTTGTGTGGGTAAGTGTAGCTGTGTGTATGTAACTGTACCAACGCACTATACAATAAAACCACACTGTAGGTCATTGTGTGTAGGTGTACTTGCACAATAAAAAAAAACAGAAACATAGGTAACATTTGACTCCAACTGGGGCAGATTTATTTCAAACATTTTACCAACACACTATAGGCATGTAAAAACAAACATTTTACCAATGTACTATACAATAAAACCACACTGTAGGTTTGTAAAAACAACAAATATTTTACCAACACACTATACAATAAAATCACACTAGGTATATAAAAACAACAAGTATTTTTTTTTTTAAATAAACACTCGCAAAACGTTATAC